CCTCGGTGAGTAATGACTGGGCTCTTAAAAGTTTGTGAGTGGACAGCTTAGGTACAACTATCTGTCCCAATCTCCATGATCTTAAGACCAGGGAACTAGATGGTGCTTGCCTATCACTGATAACCTTTCTAAAGGGATCACAATAAAGATAATGGATCAAATCTCTAAAAATGATTAAAAAAAGATAGACTTGCTGCACTACTAGGGACTGGTAGAACCACGGACATCCTTCAGACCCGGCATTGAACTTACTCCTATGATTCAGCCAAAGGATAGGCAGACATATATGGTGAACAATAACACCAGGAACGTATGCACTCCTTAGGACATTCAACCATAAGATATCAAAAGGATAACAAAATGTGGATGAATTGCTTAATAGAAAAACATTTCGTTTTATAAATGTTTACCTAAATCACACACACACACACACACACACACACATTAGGTGGATCTTTTGTGGCTATTGAAACTGTTAGAATCCACTCCTCTAAAGATTAATCTTCAACCTGACATATACAGAAATCCTCACATCAACTTTGGATTTTGCCTAGAAAAAAATCTCACACAAGCTTCAGAGACAGAATCAGCTGGCTGTGGATGTTCTTCCTATCTGCCAGCAGTATGAACTATTTTCTCCCCTACAATTGCACAGCATTTTGTGCATCCTACAAGCACAGCATGTACCGTGCTTCAGAAAATCCTGTATGCAACTTCTGCACCTCACAAGAATGCCGCAATGCATTTCTTTTTATATCCCAACCTGTGCAAATCATAAGGTGACTTACATGCTTCCAAAAAAGAGTAAGCCTGCACACAAGTCTGATAATAAGGGATTCAAATATTGAATTGTCTGCCTTTCACATCACATATAATTGATTAACCGACACAGAAATGTGAGGTGTAGCAATACTGGAGGCCAGGTGAAGCCATGGGAAACTGAAGCCACCACGGGGTAGCTGTTCAGAGCTAGAGACGAAAGTTCAGAGTGAGAGCAGATCAGAAACAGGAGAGAGTATTGAGATTCAAATATATTTAAATGAAAGCAAAGATATTTTGGTGAAGTGTGCCTTGTCTTCGCTCTTGGACTATTTTTAACACCAGATGTTGGATATCACATGCTTTAAGTACTTCTTGGTTCCGGGAATATTGTTATGTACAATTGAGTTGATCTGTTTGTCAGTCCCATAAACCCACTAGAACCGCCATAGAGCACGTTGTAGACTGCGATCTTTACAGAAGCAGAGTCAAACCTGGACGAGTATAATTACTCTTAACAATTTAAGCTATGCAGTCGTAAAATTTAGGTAAAGGGACGTCTATTCTCTTTTTTCCATTTTGCTACTGAATTGGTTGGGCAGATTATTAGTGTAGAATTTATTATTTTCACCATCAAATATTTTGAACTACTAGAGATAGATTTTGGAATAAAAAGTACAATCAGCTTCCAAAATGGGAAAAATTTTAACATGAACAAAACAGTCTCCTTCTATTTCCATATTCCTTTCTTGCTAAACAAACATTTTTGAATACTAAAGTGTGCGGTACTGAAAAATATAACATGGAAAATTAAATTTGGAAAAGAAATTCTCCAGGATTTGGTAATGTATCTCACTTCATAATTGTGGATCTACATGTATAATCATAAATGTACTAATGTCATGGCTGAATTTTAGTTTTTTGTTTGACTTCAATAATAAGTTAGCAAGGGCTAGTTTGTTGCTATTTTTCCACGAGAATCTTCTAAGAAACAAATTCTAATCAGATTTTAAAGCACAATATTCTGGCTCAATCAGTCATCATAATTATTTACATCAGGCTTCACAACTTATATTTTATTGGTTTGGGCAAAGCCAATTTTTCTTGCTAAATCAGACTATTTCCCCTCTGTACCCTGAGTCTTCTGACCCGTTCCATGTGCTGAGCCTGCCCTTTTTAAGTGGGACATCTAAAATGTTCACGTCTCCTAAAGGGATCATACTTCCTTGTGGTTTATTGAATTTTTGCTTATTGATCTAATTTAAATATACAATCCTACAGGCCTTCAAATAATGATGCATTTTTTAAGAGAAGGGATATAAAAAGAAAGTTTTTTTTTTTTGTTCTGTTGTTTTTCTAGTCAATTTTTGACTTGGGGAAACATTTGACTCCGGGAACTTGTATTTAATAAAAGAAACATCTTTAAAATAGGTGTTTGAATGACTATTGAAAATTCAATGTACAGAATTGAGACACGAAATGAAGCTACTAAAATTTTTCAATTTAGAGATACACTGAGCTAGGTAAGTGTTGGAAGAACATTAAGTACAATTGTTCAATTAAGTACCCCTGGACTGGTCTTAAAAGCCAGGGCCTGTCTACCTGGTTGACAGCATGGTATTATTTCTTGGTAATGAGGAAGTGTGGGAGTCTTGAGACAGGGTAGAAGTAACTTTGATCATTTTGATGATAAGAGGTGACATGTCATAACACAATATTTTTTCATAACATAAAAAGACTTCATGGAATATACCACCTGCAGGAATTCCAATCAATGTGAGCAAACAGGATGTGATCCTATTCTGGTGAGCAGCTTTTGGGACCTTCCATGCTCAGCGTGGCCATCTAAGATACCAAAGTCGGTTTTCCCTGTCCAGTGGAACAGAAACAAAAACTCCCTGCTATTGAGTCCATGCCAACTCCCAGTGACTCTACAGAACAGGGTGGAACGTCCCCCCTTGGAGTTTTTGAGATGAACTGTTTGTGGGAATCAGAAGTCTGGTCTCTCTTCTGTGGAGTGGTTGGTGGTTTGAACTGCGGACCTTGGGGATCAAAGCCCAGCTTTTCACCACTATGCCACCAGGGGAACATGAGTGACGGAAATTGAAGATGTATGGAAATCATTCATCAGTCCAATGGATTAATAGGCAACATTATCCTTGACTGCCAAATCAGAATAGCTAGATGGTAACCAGCTACCGTTACCAATTTCTCATAAAAGGATTGAATTAGATTACCTGAAATAGAGTAGGAGAAACATACTGAACCAAACTCAAAACCATTTAAAAGGTCCATGCTTACTGGTTGAATGCTGTTGTTATTACGCACCATTGAGTCGGTACTGACTCACAGTGGCCCTATGTACAAACACCGACCACACAACATCCTCACAATTGTTGGTTGGGTCTGTTGTCGCAGAGGCAGCTCATTCTCACTTTGTGTCCGGTCCCTTTCTGTAGGAGAGTGTTTTCCTCTGTGTTTTGACTGGAGGTGTGGGTTGACGATAAGGGCCTGCTAGCTTCGGAATGCTGGTGGTGTTCAGGGTTACATAAAACTAGTGATACAGTGCATTGGCTGTTTATCAGTCAATTTTTTTCTGCGAGATGGAGCCACTGTGTCAATCAATCTAATTGAAAGACTTCCTTTTTTTTCTGTAACCTTCTTTGTCAAGAACTGTGTCCTTTTCCAAGGACTGGTGTCTCCTGGTAAAATGCCTTAAGTACATGAAAAAAAAAGTCATCAACCTTCTTTTTCAGGAGCATTCTGACTATACTTCATCCAAAACAGCTATATTCATTCTTTTGACAGACGAAGCTATTAACAACATCCCTTGCCAACCCCATAATTCAAGGATATCAATTCTTCTTAAATCTTCCCAATTATCAGGCAACAACTAATGGGAGAGTTTCAACCAAAGCCCATTAACTTCCAAATCCATGACCTTGGGATAGCAGTTCTCTGCTTTTTCTCACAGTCGGTGAGTCCAAAGGAGTATTTCAATTTCATTCATCTGCAACAGGTGTATTTAACATAAAGACTGGCTCTCTTAGTGAAGCTTCCAAATCTCATATATATATGAGATTTATATATATATATATATAATTTTTTTACAAAAGTCCTTTTAATTGTAAAAATCCCAGTTTTATAGCTTATTCAAGTTTGCCTTTCTAGTTAAATTTTCATTTTCATGTAATTTACCTGTTGTTGCCCAATTACTACAATGTACAACAGAGTTATCTAAAATTCAAGTTTTTCTTTTTCAGTTATGAAATATGATTTAACTATTAGTCATAAAAATTCCCTTAACAAACACCTGAAATTTAAATCTTCACCTGGAAGCTGATCAAAGAGTACAGGACTTCACCACATGAGTTAAAACAGTATGAAATGAGAAAAAAAAATTTCACTACCTACATAATCAACAATTTATCTAAAAAGGCACTTTAATTATTTTTATTTAGCACATAAAAGAAAAAAATCGATTCATAAGGTACAACTACATTTGGCACTTTAAAGTAAAACTTTAAATCACCAATTTATTCTTCTGAGCAAATAATCTTTAAGAAAATGGCAAGTCATAAGTACAAGTATTATAATAGTAGTGATAGTCTATATAGGTAAGATGTTAAGAAAACTCTTTGTAGGGTTATAAAAATACAGAACATCTGATATAATTAACACTATCTCTAAGACTAAAATCAGAACAACATTCCAGAAAATAGAAGTACTTATAAATATCATTTTACTTTGAGAAAGCCAGAAATAATTTTACTCAAGAAATAAGCAATCACTGTAGAAGATGTGATTGAGTGTACTGTATCTTTCTTAAACCAAAACACACTTTTTGCATCAGAGAGGACAATTTTCATTTTTATAATCATAGCTTCCTTTGTCCAAAGCAGGGGCCCTGAATTCAAGCCATTAGTTGAATAGTTAGTAATCAAAAGGTATTTTGGCATGTCTTCACTTCAGTATATATGCTGGAAAACTGCCAGTTACAAAGAATTTGTAGCACAATAAATGCAGATTTGTAGTAACAGCCAACTGACAGCAACAAACTTCTAGACCCAAGACAAAATGGGACTTCAGAATTGAGGAGGGGGTTCTTCCCCATGCTCAGACCCTATTTACTACATAACAGTCACAAAAACCAAAGAGGAAACCTTAATGGGGCCTTCCAATGTGCCAGCGTTTCTCAAAGGATTGCTCTCTAACTGCACAGCCTGTTCTTTTCAATCCTTTTATAGTCGCTTGACTTTGGTAATATTTTCTTGACGTTTTTGCTTCTTCTTCTGCTCCTTTTCCCTGGCTTTGATCATCTTGGCCCATTTCCAGGACAGCACCACAGCACTTGTTAGGAGCAGTGGAGCGAGGGCCGGAATCCCTGTCATCAGAAACCAACTCCACCCCATACTCAGCCCAAGCCTTGACGTCAAACATCTCGATAGTGGTCTGAACAAACTCTGCATTCAAGAAGTGGCAGCTGAAGGTTTCTCTCAGTGATATACTTGCCTTAGTCTCCGTAGGGTGCCTTATGCTTGAGTAGTGATCTCGAACTTTGTCCTGGTTCAATGAGCAAATCACAATTTCAGATGACCCTTCATTTTTCTCTTCTTCTTTGCCACCTTACACTTCTGGGAGAAGGCTTAAATTTGCCAGACCAGAACCGGGAACCGAATCTCATGGTTTTGTTATAGTCTTTGATGAACGCTGTACACCTTTGAAAGACAAATCTAAAATCCAGGCACACAGTCAGTGTCACTGAGGGCTGAAAAAACAACAACAACAAAAAACCCTCAGTAAAATATGCATGATTAGCAAGATAACATTGAGCAAATTCATCCATTGAGAGTCTATGCAAAATCAATATTTTTAAAGATTCACAAAAGTCCATTGTGTGTCTATACCAACATGTCTTTAGTCATACCTTCTGCTGATGAATTTTGAGCTGTTTTTAATTTCTTGTTATAGTGAATAGTGATATAAATGAGTGTTGAGTTAGTTTATTGTGCCGACCTGGCCAATAAACACATTTGGGGTTAATTGAAGGGCAGAGGGATAAATGGCTTGGTGACCCTCGCCTTTCTAATTCTCTGATCTCTTGCTTTGTGATGGTCGCACCAGGGTGCAGCTGCCTTAGCAGTTTCCTGCTTCAGCTGGCAAGACAGACTTCCTGCAAAACATCCTCAAGGGGCAGCCATGAACCTACCCCGATGCAGCCCTGGGTGCTGGAGCAGCCATGAGGAGACCCCTGCCAGCGCTGAGATGCTTACACACTCACTGATTGGGCTTTCCTCCTGCAGTCGGCATCATTGTGTCTGCTTTGTGAGATGGAGGAGGACTTTGTGGATTGGTTTTGGACATATGGACTAATGTTGGACTTGTGGGCTTAGGCAGCACTGGGTTGGGATGTTTTCTTTATGTGCACTTATCCTTTATATAAAACTTTCTTATGCATGAGTTTCTGTGGATTTGTTTCTCTAAAGCACCCAGACTAATACAAGTGCCTATATCTGTTTGTGTTCTGTCTGTTGCTTCCTTAAGGTATATATCTAGCAGAAGTATTGCTGAATTATAGGAGATTTCCATTTCCATTTGTTCTAGATGCAACCATGTAGCTTTCCACAACATTTGTACATGATTACAGACCCACATATAAGACTTCCAGGCTCTCCCAATCCTCTACAGAATTTGTTTTCTGTTTTTGCTATTTTTTTTAATTGTGCCATCTTGTGGGTGTAAAGCTATAGCTCATCATAATTTTGATTTGCATCACCTGGATAGCTAATACTGTGAGTATTTTTTATGTTCCTGCTAACCATTTGAATGCCATTTTGGTGAAATTTCTGTTCATGTCTTTTGCCCACTTTTAAATTGGATTATCTGTTATTTTTGGTTTTTTCTTATTATGGCATTACAGTATTCAATATATTTAAAGATTAGTCTTGTCCATTACCTCATTCATATATTTGTTTTCCCAGTCTATGAACTCTATTTTCACATTTTTGATAAAGTATTGAGATGCACCTTAATATCCTATTGGTTTGGGGGTGTTGTTGACTTGTATGTTGCTTTGAGGGTTCACTACTGTTTTTGATTCTATGTCCAATGTGTTCTTGTCATTATTTTTGTAATGCTGGTCTTTTTTTTACATAATGCTTTAATTTTTCCTTCTCTGAAAGTACCCTTATTTCTGTCTCATCTTTGAGAGAGAGTCGTGCTGGATATAGACTTCAGAGCAATTTTTTTCTTCCAGAATGTCATGTATGTCACCTCATTGTCTTTTAGGCTACATTATTTCTACTGAGACCATCTGAGCTTATTCTTGTTTCCCTTTGCACATGACGGCTCTTTTCCCTAGCTACTTTCAGAATTCTCTCCTTGATATAGGTGAGTTTGATGACAATGTATTATAGTTGTTTTTTCTTTTGGGTTCTCTTCTGTTTCAGTCTCTCACTAACTCAGTTTTCCTTCTCTTCTATTCTATTACTCAGCTCTTCCACCGTGTCTAATTCTGTTATCTTAGTGCTTCATTTCTGCAGTCCTATTTTGTGTAGAGGCTCTTGTTTTTCAGGCTTTTCCTTCATCTCTTGATGACATCTAAGCATCACTCCCCTAAATTGTGCACCTTGTCCTCCTGGGGTCTCTTCTTCAGAGTAATACTTTGGGTTTGATGTTGTTTAGGCTTTTTGTGGCTGTTTTTCTAGATTTTTGTTTGTACTGACATGGACTGCAATCCCATGCCATTGTGGTACAGCTGTTAGAGTGTTGGGTGAACTGCTGGATCATGTGTGGGCAGTTGGTTCTTGCTGGATTGCTGCACTAGCTGGGGCCTTTTTTAACTGGAGGTGTGGACAATTGGGGCATGCTTTACCAAGTTTCAGAGATAATCAGGGCCTTTCTTACCAAGTTGTTATGATGTCTAGTCCCGTCTTTGCTGAGTTGCTGGGATGGCTGGGGGTGGGAAGGGCAGTGGAGACAGCTAAGACCTGCTTGCCATGTCCTGGGGACAGCTGGGGCCCTCCTTTGTCAAGATGTGGGGACACCTGGGGCCTTCCTTGAGTTGCTGACTTGCCAGCATGCAGAGGTCTTCCTTGCCAGGATATAGGGACACCGGAGAACTTCCTTGCCAGATCTCTGGAATAGCCGGACCTTCCTTGCTGTGGGAGGGGACAGCCAGGATCTTTGCATGGTGTCCGGGTTGGCTGACTGTCCTGATTAACTGAGGCCTACCTTGCTGCCCCAGAAACAGCTGGGTCTGCCTTGGTGGGGTATGGCTGGTATCTTTCTTGCTAGATCACAGTGGCCCCTTGGGTCCTCCTTGCCCAGGGGCAAGGATGCCAGAGCTACTTTGCTGTGTGGCAGGGATGGTCCAGGACCTTCTTTTCTGCTTTTGAGTTGACTGAGGGTGGCAATGGCTGGACCTTAACTTGTCAGGTCCTTCTGACTTAAAACATGAAGTATTTTCCGTTCTGTTTGAATGATTATTTCTTTGTCTAGATACAGGTTCTGCATGAGCACAAATAAGTGTCTGCTGCTCCCATTCTTCACATTGTTACCCATAGTTATTAGGTACACAGTCAAATTTGCCTTTGTATAGTCAATAAAAGACAAGTATACATCTTTCTATTATTCTCTGCTTTCATCCAAGATCCTTTTGACATCAGCAATGATATCCTTTATGCCACATTCTATTCTGAATCTGCCTAAAATTTCAGGCAGCTTCATGTTTATGTAATATTGCCCCCTTTAAAATTTATTTTGTTAAAATTTTACTTGTACTTGATATTAGTGATTAAAAATTCAATAATGTATGCCTTCTGCTGGATCACCTTTCTTTGTAATTGCTACAAATAATGGATTTCTTCCATTTGGTCATCCAGTTAGCTATCTTCCAAAATTTTTATCATAGGCCAGTGAATGCTTCTAGTGCTTCAGCGATTTGTCGAAACATTTATATTAATAATCTGTCCATTCCTGGAGGTTTGCTTTCTGGTCATGCCTTCAGTGCAGACTGGATTTTTCCCTTCAATATTATTGTTTCTTGATCATGTGCTACCTCTTGAAATGGTTGTTGATTGAAAAATTGGTGTGCAGTAACTATAAGTATTCCTTCCATCTACGTATTATGCTGTCTGCATTGATCAATATTTTGACTGTTCTAGCCTGCACTATGGGAACATAAGACTTGTGTTTTTTCTTCAATTCTTTCAGCTGGAGGTACTATACATGTGCTCTTTCTTTTTTTGGTATCTAACTCCAGTTATTTGTATACTCAATTACAATTGTCTAATTTGTCTTCTTGAGTTGTCATTTATTTTAAAACAGAAATTTTATTTTCTGTGTTTTTAGGTCAGTATTGCTTCCATTTGCTTTAGCTACTCTAATTTCAAGACCAAGTTACCGTGTCTCTTTTGACACCAACTTTGTTTTTTTCTGACTCTGTGTCTTTGTAATGACCTTTTCATTTATTCATGTGTGTTGTTGTTGGTGCCATCTCACAGCTTTTCAAGTCTTCTCTTATTAGTGTTACATGAATCGAGTTCAATTTTGAGATGTTTTAATAAATCAGGTAGGGTATAAGGTTGTATTTTATTTCTCCTGGAATTGTTTTCGATTCTTTTTAACATATTGCTTTATTGGCATATACTTCACTTATCATACAATTTAATAACTAAATAATATTTAATATATTTGTGTAATAATCATCAATAAATTTCAGAACATTTCTTCTCATACTCACTGTTATCTCCCCATTTCCTACCATCCTCCCCTGCCATGCCCCTAGGTAAATATTAATCCAGTGACTATCTCTATAGATTGACCTATCCTGAATTTCAGATACAAAAAAATCATGCAAAACACAAAGAGGAAGAACACAAACAAACCAAAAACAACAACAACAACAAAAATAACAACAATTAGAAGAACTCAGTCAAAAAGAAAGCAGAAAATACTAAACACTGAAACAATTTAAAAATTAATCAAAAAGGAGATCAAATGAGATGACATAATATTTTGATCTAATTACATATGGCATACTCAATTGTAAAATGCTCTTTGTCAGATAAACAGGCTGTTCACATCTCTAGACTATGGTCAGAGAGAATTCATCAGAGTCTTATTAATTTTTGTGGGGACCCTGCAAATGAACTTTGGGCTTCCACTGTCATCTATATCCTTCTGCAAACAGGGTGTTCCCAATTTAAGCTCAGATAACAGTCCCTCCTTTGGATTTGTATTTTAGTATGTGCAATTCTCAGATCACACAGACTGAGCGCTCCCTCCATGTAGACTTAGTTGACACTTTATTTAGATGGCTACTTGTTTGAAGCAAAGCCCAAATACCCTACTTTTGTATGTTTAGGCAGCATCTGGTTTCTTCATCACCCTGCTATAACATACATAGTGA